TTAACCTAACAGCCATGTTTTTGGACTGTGGAAGGAAGCTGGAGTACCCATAGAGAAGCCTCGCATGACAGTGTATTCTCATTATCAGTTCTTATGAAATCGTACGAAAAGTTACGCACAGTATTTCGTAGGTTTTTGACGTTTTTTTCGTCGTATAGACAAGATATCCTTGCGCATCTTACACACCATTCAATAACATACAATTTAACATACAATTAACCCTAACCCTACATACAAGACAGCAAGCAACCTAGTGAGAGACATCATGAAGTAATTATTGTACTGTCGAAAGCTTGTCCGTTCCAGTTTTACGTCCGTCCACTGATCTGCTTTTTTCGTCTGGCTGGCTGCGCATGCGCACTGATATGTTTTTTCACAGAAAAACGTCAAAAATCCACGAAATACTGTGCATAACTTTTCGTACGGTTTCATACGAACTGATAATGAGAATATGTTGCGCATGAACAGGGAGAACATGCAAACTCTATATGCAGAAAGACCCCAGATCGGGAATGGAACATGGAACCTTCTTGCTGCAAAGCAGCAGTGCTTCCCTCTGCGCCACTGGGCAAAAATTCCGCAGATTATTTAGCTTAGACCAGTGTTTTTCAATCCTGGTCTTCAAGGCACCCTGCTCTGCATGTTTTGGATGTTTCTGAGGTTCAGCACACCTGATTCAGATGATTGCAGTTCAGCAAAGCCTGATAATCTGCTATCAATTGATGACAGGTGTGTGAAAGCTGGGAAACATCTAAAACATGCAGGGCAGGGTGCTTTGAGGACCAGGATTGAAAAACACTGGCTTAGAGCACATAGTAAAGTATATTGCGCTCAAAACCAGGACTGATGCTAACCTTGCTTTAGCGTGCAAATTCACACCCCGACAGCGACTGTCCTTCGAGGGAGAGAATCCACTTAAAGTGAAATATCAAATAGGCTTATTGTGTCAAAAGCTCATAGTCTCGTAGATATTATTACAAAAACTGCAGTGAAGTAGCATCTATTTGTTTAATTTTTTTGTGTACATGTTTTAACACGGGCTGCACAGTGGAACAGTTTGTAGAACTGCTGCCTTGCAGTTAGAATGTTTGCATGTTCTCCCTGTGCATTCCTGGGTTCTCTCTGGGTACTCTGGCTTCATACCACTGTCCAAAAACATGACTAATTGGCATTTCTAAATTGTCCTTAGGAGTTTGTGGGTGCATGGTTGTGAGTCTCTGTTATGGCAGGATAATTCTCCCATACTCTGTGTTGTCCTGTGATTGGACAACTGGGGACCTCTCCAGGGCAAACCCCGCTTTTGACCATAAACTGCTGGAGATGGGGACCAGCCTCACTGCGACCCTGACGGGTGAAGCGGGAGAAAATGGATGGATGGATGTTGTAACACTGCTAGATCCCTGCTGCAGTTGTGTCAACCTGAGTTTATACACAAACCAGAACATTCTGTTAACCATTTTTTCCAGTAAAGTTTTGTTTTCATCACTGTCACTTTCAAGTTTACAGTAAAAACTCAGATTATTATTAACCCATCCAGATTTAGGTTTAAACCAGTGGTGCCCAAGTGAAGTCCTATGCTTCGACTTTTAGATTAATGCTCCTCCAACACACCTGAATCAAACAGTTTAATTCCTCAAAGCCTTTTAATTTCTGATATACCTTGTAACTAACCATTCAATTCAAACCCCATTCATTTCATAGTGCCAAATTACAACATATGTCAAGGTGCTTTACAGAGACAATTTAATTCAACCAATCAGATTGGTTACAAGGTTTCTACCTATTAAAAATATTGCACTGTCTACCCGGAGAAAACTAGAAATCTTTGCAGGTTTTAGTCCTCCCAGATGAGCTTGTGGTGACAGTAGACATTAACCTGCATTGTGTCGTTGACTTTACAGAAATCCCTCACAAGCATGCATGTAGTGACGGCTAAAAAACCTCCCTTTTAACAAGAAGAAACCTCCAGAACAGGCTTAATCTGAGCTGCCATCTGCTGTGGCTGACTGGGGATTCCACAGAAGCAGACATACAAAACGAACATAGAGACACTGATCCATAAATACTTTCCATATTAGCAAAAATAACGGGAAACTAGCTCCATAAGTGGCTCTGTCAAGAAAAGACGCAATTATGAAGATGAGGTTTGAGAAAGTTTTCACGTCAAAAAGGATGAAAGAGGTCACATACAATTAGTCACAGTCAAAGCGGAGCTGTGTTTTGGAGAGAAACAGGACTATGCACTGATAAACACATCCAGCAGCCCGGATGATATTTTCACTCGATGATGGTGTCACAGCCAAATAGGAAAAGATCAGATAAAGCTACTATGGGGAGAAAAGGGAAAGAGTGCATAAAGTTTGGTGTTGATCTAACAAATACTTCAGAATTGGAGAACCGTGATAGAATGAAGCAGAATAATGAAAAGTAGTCCCTATGTCCTCCAGCGGTCTAAGCCTAAAACAGCATAACTATAGAGATAGCTCAGGATAACCTGAGCCACTTTAACTAGAAGCTTTATGAACGTTTTAAGCCTTGCCTTAGACTTACAGTTTCAAGTTGGTAGAAAAATCTGATAACTGAAAGATCTGCCTCTAGTTGTACTTTTAGAAATAAAAAACTAAACCATTAGTAAACCTGCAGATTTAGGCAAGGCAAGGCAAATTTATTTGTATAGCACAATTCAATACAAAGACAATACAAAGTGCTTTACATGATTAAAATAAAGGAAGATAAAACAGAATCAAAGCAAATAGAAAAAAATAAAATAAAAAATACAGAAACAAAAAAGAATAATAAAAACAGTTGGACTAAAGAAAATATGTTTTAGTTGAACTGTTTAACTAGAATAGTCGAAGGCAATCCTAAACAAATGTGTTTTTAGTCTTGATTTAAAGGAACTCAGGCTTTCCGCACTTTTACAGTTTTCTGGAAGTTTGTTCCAGATAAGTGGAGCATAGGAACTAAATGCTGCTTCTCCATGTTTAGTTCTGGTTCTAGGTATGCAGAGCAGGCTGGAGCCAGAAGACCTGAGTGGTCTGGAGGGTTGATACACTGATAGCAAGTCTGTGATGTATTTAGGTGCTAAGCCATTCAGAGATTTATAGACTAACAGAAGTATTTTAAAGTCTATTCTCTGAGATACAGGGAGCCAGTGGAAGGACTTTAGAACTGGGGTGATATGCTCTACTTTCTTAGTCTTAGTGAGGACACGGGCAGCAGCGTTCTGGATGAGCTGCAGCTGTCTGATCCACTTTTTAGGCAGACCTGTGAAAACACCGTTGCAGTAATCAATAAGACTAAAAATAAACGCATGGATCAGTTTTTCCAGATCATGCTGAGACATTAGTCCTTTAATTCTGGAAATGTTCTTCAGGTGATAGAAAGCCGACCTTGTAATTGTCTTTAAATGCTTTTGGAGGTTCAAGTCTGATTCCAGCACTACACCTAGATCTCGGGCCTGATCAGTGGTTACTAGCTGAAGCGACTGAAGCTGTGTGCTAACTTTAGATCTCTCCTCTATTGGTCCAAAGATTATTACTTCAGTTTTGTTTTTATTCAGTTGAAGAAAATGATGGCACATCCAGGCATTGATTTCTTCTAAGCATTTCCTCAGTGCTTGAATTGGTTCATAGTCACCTGGTGACATGGTGATGTAAAGCTGTGTGTCGTCTGCATAGTTATGGTAGCTGATGTTGTTGTTTTTTATTAACTGAGCGAGAGGGAGCATGTAGATATTGAATAGGAGGGGACCCAGGATGGACCCTTGGGGAACCCCACATGTGATTGGGTGTGTCTAAGGTGGGCGTGAGTGTCACTAAGGTATGAATGGGAGTCATTCTGGCGCGCTGAATTTATGAATGAGGAAGCGGGTGCGCCGGTGGTGGTCGTAATTTCTGTTGACCGTGCTATATTGTCGCTTTAATTTTGGCATCATAGAATGGTTTAGCCTGGTCAGTATGTGTCAGTCAATGTAAAGTCTGGATTATGACGGCCAAATGGAATAAATTGATGATTGCAAATACAAGAAGTGGCTTGGAGTGTTTTGAAGCGCGCGTCTGACAGATCATGAAATCACCGCGTTAACCCAGTGCGGCCCTCTACAACACCGCTGGTCAGCCGCACATCTACCCAGGATGGACCCTTGGGGAACCCCACATGTGATTTTTGTCATCTCTGATATAAAGTTGCCTACTGACACAAAAAAGTCCCTGTCCTTTAAGTAGGATTTAAACCAGTTGAGAGCTGTACCAGAGAGGCCGACCCAGTTTTCCAGGCGTTTTAACAGGATGGAGTGATCTACAGTATCGAATGCTGCACTGATTTTGAGTGAAATGCTCTGTTAGAAAATTAAGGGGGAAAAGTTCATACAATTTTTTGGGGGGGCTGCTTGACTTTAAAAAAACAACATTTAATATTTATAACATTTTTAAAAATATTACTATTGAATTGATCTACTGTATATACTTTTGACCTATTCTCCTTGGTTCTGTAGCTCTATGACTTAAGAGCTGATAGAGTCTTTGCAGGGAGCTGCATTTCAAGGGTATCTCAGGGGTATGAATAGTTTTGGGCTCAACTTTACAAGAATGCAAATGTTGCCAATTCTAAATAATAGCAGGTTAATTAAAATGCTGTTTGCAGAGCTGCATGCTGTCGAGCTCTATTTTTAGAGCATGACCTGCAGGCCGAACACGGTCTCTGAGGGAGCCTCTGCTCTAGGCGTTAAATCATTTTGCTGTGTTACTGGTTACACATCCCATTCATTGGAGCTTTAACTGGTTTTCTGTGATTAATAGTTAATTGCCTCAATCAATATCCCTTTGTCTATGTGGGAAAGATGTTGCAACCCAGTGAGCTAAAAAGCAGCATCCACAGAGTTTTTCTTTAGGTAAATTTCTTTACTCAGCAGGTCTTTAATAGCTCGCAAGTATTACTCAGCGGTCTGTGTTCTCTGAAGCCACATCCTGCTGTCCTTATTTCTTTTTTTTTTTTTGCAGGTGATGACAGTCCTGTCCTACGAGCGACTGGCTGAGCCCAGGGTGGTGCAGTGTGCCCAGAACCTTGACAGTGGAGGATAGGGCTGCAGGACACAGGATGGATGGCGAGCAGCAGAGGGTGAAGATGGACGCCTCTCACTTCACAGAGAATAAATCCAAGTTATTTTCAAAAAGAAAGCGTATGAATGTGGAATAAAAACCATCAAAACTCTCCTTATTTGAAGCTTTGCAAACGTCCTCTGCTACCAGCCTGTATTAGAACCACTAATTCAAATTACTGTTAGACTATTAATTAGATTTTACACAAGGGGGCACCATTGCTCTCATGTTGACTACTCAGAGGCATAATTAGAGATGAAAGCTTTTCTCTTTTTTTCTAAAGCAGATCTATTTATGTTTGCAGGTATCAGTGGAAATAAAGCAGTTGTTTTTTTGTTTTGTTTTTGCTTTTTCTTTCTCTCTGTGCGACCCATGTATCAGAATGTGGTTTATTCTCTTCCTGTGAAGAGGGAAGCTCACTCTGACACAATGAGCGCAGCAATGGAGTTGTCAACATCTTAGCAGCTTCACTTCAAAAAAAAAAAAAAAAAACCTGACAGAAGGAGAGGGTCAAAGACAGTGATTCTTCACAGATTTATGGATCCCTTTATCGCTTTAAAAAAAGGAAAAACAAGACAAAAAGGCTTTGTTATAATTAAAGCATCTTGTTATCCCTATTCCCTCTTCTTCAGCTGGCACATATGAGACACTCATGAGGTAAAACTAAATCAAATAAACTTGCTAAATTACTAACTTTATCTTCTAACTACAGGAAGAGATTAAAATTTTAATGGCATCCATTTATAATTTACAATTTGACAAGGTGTGAGTAGTGTATAGTCAGCTGTTCTTGCCTGTATTCTCCTCTAGGATGTGCTGCCTGCTACACATCAGCAGATGAGAGAGGAATGCTGTAAGCACCATCAAGGCATTGTAGATTCTCTTTGTAGAAACGAGTTGCGGGTTTGGCCAGTTTCTGTGTTTTTGCATAATTGCAGATAAGGCTCAGTAACCTTTCCAGTTTTCCACGCTCAGCATGTGATGTTTGCCTTTCTAGAGGCTTTTTTTTTTTTTTTGCCTGAAATGGAAATTCTAATCTCTGGGACTCAAGGACATAATATATATAAGTACTTTTATGCCCTGATCAGCGTATTGAGGTGCTTGACATTTCCAGGGGAGATAACAGAGTGCACGGATTCAGGTCAGGCCAGAATTGACTCACTTTGAACAGCAGCTCTGTCTTCTTGGATGAATCTCTTCTTTTATGTTTTTCCACTAACTAAAACATACATTTTTAAAGCTAACCGGAAATTTTAATCTGCGGGGATTTATTTTTCATTTGGATATTTATGAGTAAACAAGCAGAGATAGAGAGAGAGAGGGAAAACCACAGCTAGATAGCAGCGCATGAAAACGTTAAACTCAGACAAAAACACACTTCCTGCGAATAAGAAGTTAATGTTGAGCTTTTTTTCAGGTCTCAGGGGTTTTGTTGCTGCAGCTTTACTCACTCTGCTATGACAGAAGCTTAAGGTAGTTAACAAACCTTGGATTCATCTTGCAGCTGAGCAACATCACTGCTGAGGTTTTTCTTCTCTATTCTGTTACAGTTAGAAAAGATTTTTGTGACTAAATAAAAAGCAATGCAATGTCTCTAAAGGCGGTATGGGGTGTTTTTTTTAGTTTTTTTTATATCACCCCAAACGAAGGAAGACATAAAGAGGTTGGAGGCCCTGTGCTTTTACTTGAAACATACCAGCCAACTCAGCATCCACTGTGATAAAATTTTTAAAGATATACAGAACAACCATTTGATGTAGGGGCAACCAATTATTTCTGTTAGCCAAGGACAAGCGTGCGTCGCTATGGAGATGGGACCGTGCAAAGGGGGAAGTTTAGATGGCAAAGCCAGGGAAGAGTGGACGGGGAGGATGTTTTGGTGGATCAGAGCGTTGGAACATGTTACTGCGATGGAGACGAAGCAGGAAAAAAAACGGTGCAGTAATTACCATTCGCTGCAGCCGGTCATACCTTCCCCTGTTGGGAGGAACATTTCAACATATTGTGCTATTATAAAGACAATAACCAGAGCTGATTCTGCTGCTGCTTTTCCACTTATTTTAAAAGCTCACATTGTTTTCTGTCATCTCAGGTCAAATGAAGTCAGCTTCACTCTGAAATCAAAGCTTTGGGGACTAAAAGAAGAAAGTTGGGTTTATATGAAGTAGGTTCTGCAGAAAAGTTGTAAATCACTGTATTTTTTAAACCTTCTATAGATAAGTATTGTATTTCTATTAGTTTTGATAAAAGAAAAAAAAAAGCCTGGCCTAATGGTTTGTTAAAGCTGAGCCCAAAGCGCATATTTCTTCTATTGCATTATAATTGATCATCTTTTAAGTGGTTTTAACACCAGTCTGTAGCCCATCACAATGTACTGTAAAACATGTTAGGTTTATTTGGAAGGTTAGAATAAATCCATAAACAGCATTTATTTTCTGTTTGCTTTTTTTTTCACACTGCCTTACTTTACGGAAAATAAAACAGAACTCACAAATCACCAACGTGTTTTTTTGCACATTATTTCACTTAGGAAGGGAACTGTTACACTGAAGTATGGATCTCTGTTGAGGTGATTGTTATGGAAAGCTCTGGGTTTAAATCTTGAAGTTCCAAAAAGTTAAAGTAAAAAAAAACAAAAAAAAGACAATGGACTTTGTTTTCCAAGTTTGAAGACGTTTCGCTTCCCAAACAGGAAACTTTTTCAATTCGAAATGTCCGGATTAGCATTTAGTTCCAAGTGAAACGTCTTCAAATTTAAAAAAAACAAAACAAAGTCCAGTGGTTTGTTTTTTAACTTTAACTTTTTGGAATGACTGTTTCCTGGTTGACTGAGAATCTCCACCAGCATCTTACCCCTTGAAGCTTTCTCTCTCCGGTTCTTTTCTTTAGAAGAGATTACTCAGAACAAACTCTTTAAATAACTTCATAATGTGTATGTATTAAATAACCGTGAGACAGGAAAATAGATTCTCATAGAAATTGTAATCTTACTCAGATCAGAGAAGTTGCAGAAGGTAATGCTTAACAACCAGCAGTGTTGTAAAAAGTACACACATTTGTTACTTAAGTAGAAGTATAGATACTGCAGTTTAAAAACACTCTGGTAAAAGTTGAAGTATCAACTTGATCGATTTACTCAAGTAAAAGTGAAAAAGTATGTGCTCCAAAAACTACTTAAAGTATAAAAGTATAAAGTAACCTTAACCTCTTTAATAACTCAGAATGCATAAAATTCCACCGGTAAATTTTTACCAGCAGGTGGAGCCATTGCGCGCAGCTCCAAGCTGACACCAAATTTTCCAAACCCCACAGCTCTGGAACCGTTGTAGCTATAGAGGTCTGGAATTTTCTGCATTTGTGGTTGACATGATGTAGAACAAATATAATACAATACAACCTGCTTTTTCTCGAGAATGTCTTTATTACTTTTATTCAAAAAAGATCTATCATTTCCGAGAATAAAAAAACAACAACTTTGATTCATGTTTGAACTGATGCAGGCCTGTGTTCTACTTACCCAGTTTTAATTGCAAAATAGGTATGCAAAATAGGCGAGGATTACCCAAAATTAGGTGCATGTTAAGAGGTAAAAAAAAACAAAAAAACGTCAGATGCCACTATATGAATTGGAAGCTCAATAAAGCCAAGGATGAGGAAGGTCTTGTTGGTCTCCGTCTCCCGATACGCTCTCGCCTGTGTCCGACCTTTCAGACATTTCAGCATCTTTTTCTGAATCCCACATTGTAGCATGGCATAGACAATTCACGTTAGCAGTTTGAAGAACACCTGCTTGCTTCTGATGATTTCCTTTAGCTAACCAGTGAGTGTTTGCGTTCTATGACTCATCCACTCACACTAGTTTTCACTAGATGTGGGTGGAGCCAATGATCTGCATTGGATGGAGCACATGACGGGAAATAAATATTTATAAACATTAAACCGAAGCTATGAGTAACGAGTAACATTTGTTTTAAAAATGTAAGGAATAGAAAGTACAGATACTTGTGTGAAAATGTAATGAGTAGAAGTCAGAAATAGGAAGCAAATTAAGTAATGGAGTAAAGTATAGATACCTAAAAAGCGTACTTAAGTACAGTATGAAAGAATTTGTACTTTGTCACTTGACACCTCTGCCAACTGGGCTCACATCTCCTGAAGAGGGCATGATTCACAGTTAAAGAAGCATTTTATACAACTCTAGTAAGTAGCCACATCATCAAATCATTACATAATACAAATTTGCAGATGAGGAGACATCCATGGCTCCAGCCTTATCAAAATATTACGCTTTCTTCTTAGCTAAAGGACACCGCTCTCATTCCTCTCCCAAATCTTTACCACATACAGAATGAATACGACCTTTTATCCTGACAGAGGAACTGTCCCAATTAGAGAAACTACTTGGGAAAACATTAGTTCTGACACGCAACAAGCAGGTATTACCAGGGCATAACAGACCCCCACATTATCAATTACAATAACTCTAACAGGATGATAGATTCAATTGAAGGTCTCATCTCAGGATCCAATTAAAATAATCCTTAACAAAGTCCCCGATTAAACATTTCCTGTTTTCTTGCTTTGCTTTAGTGAGCCATGTTGTGGTGTTTGTAGTAGCCAAAATGCAGTTTCCCTCTGAATTCCTCAGATTGTAGCTCCGGCTTCTTGTTCATAGCTCCTTCCCTTCACCTTTTGCAGGGTCAACAGGAAAAAACTCTATCCAGGGTAGGAAAGAAGCTGCTGACTGCTGTGCTACAACCAGATAGCCTTCAGCCCTACAGACATCTTTACATGACCGACACCCATTTAGGGATGTCCCGATTCAATTTTAATATCAGAAATTGTTGCAATGTCATCCAAAATAGAAACAAATATCGGAATACATCTGCCTGCATCTAAGATTTCAGATACCAGCAAGCTAATAGAAATACTTGTGTCATGATTTAACTAAAGATCTGACCCAAATGCAGAAGACCAAACAGAGAGACCAGGGAAAAGTTGAACAGGTTTATTTAGTATAATGAGATGAGTCCAGTGCTGCTTTAAACACTGTCAAACCGGAACTGGAAAGTGAGGGGAAGACACTGCGGTTAGTTCAGGCTCAGTGGGGAATTAGATTCTTCGACTTAAAGAGGAGGAATAGGTTGAAGTTTACGTTTCCAGAAAAAGGTGTCCTTTATGGAATCCAGTCTGTGTGGGATGTTCCAGTGATTGTCCTGTTTGATGGTCGGTTTACCCACCATCAAACAAGACAGGGTTTACCCAGACTGCGGTTGTTCCTTGGTGAGAAGCTGACTGCCACTTAGATTTCCTGCGGTACTTGAATACGTTATTGTGGAGATGAATCCCCTGCTCAGAAAGAAGCCCCAGCCAATCCTTGGTGGGGGAAGGTTAATCCAAACCACAAACTTGAATCCTCAGCTCAGTTTGGTTCTCAGAAGATCCTTCCAGGGGAGAGAAGGTCCGAAACATCCAGTTTGCAGGATGACTTC